TTTTTACCCCTGGTTCTGGTTTATTTATTCTATTGTTTGTGTTTTGGATTTGTTTCTAGTGTTTAGTTTTGCTTACAACTCAGATTCGGTTCAAGTTTCTTTTTCATTCTCTTTGCTTCCTTCTCCAGCTGCATTTACTCACCTTTGATTAGCTTTTCAGGTCCTTCGGTCATTTCCACCTTACCTCTGTATATTTAAGCTCCCTGGTTCTCATTGTGCTCCACTAGATTCTGTTATCTCCGTTTTATCCTGTTCACCTTGCTGTTTCGCTGTCTTCTAAGTTTTTCCGTATGTTCATTAAATTATGAATTCCACGACTTTCTCATCCTTGAGTTGGATAATATTTTGTTACATTTATTCAGTTACATTTACTTGAGTTTCATTTTGGGTAAAACTACTTTAAGGAGTATTTTTACACTGTACTTCTTAGTTTTACTTGAGTAATTCTAATATGAAGTATCATTCCTCTTAGTTGAGTAAAATTTCTGTGAATAACTTCAGTGAATGGAGAACAGGCTTGTTTTAATAAAATAAATTCTCCAGGCACACACCTGCAGTTTTTATTAAAGTTTCATAAGTTTCATATTGAAAGAAAATGATTTGGAAACATATCTTTTTGTTTGATTATTTTGTATTAATTATTTTCACTTTGGTCTTCAAATATCAATATTTAAACATAACTTTATATTTATAAATATTTAAATTATGGTTTTGCTCAGTTACTCAATCCTTAAATTGCCTTTTTACCAAATACTTTTTTACTCTTATGTGAGAAATTTCTTGGACAGCAACTTTTTACTTTTACTTAAGTAAAAATAAGTTGAAGTAGCTGCGACTCTAACTTCAATAAAGTTTTTGTGTTCTGTATTTTGCTGACTATCACATAAAATCCATACAAACACAGCGGTGTGACGAAACGTGAAAACACTCAAAGGATGTAAGAAGTTGTATTGAACATCTTTGACAGCAATATAGATTCATTAAATCTCTCTGAACTGAAGCCGTTTCTGCCTTCAGATATTACATCGGTGAGGTTTGACCCGGACACTGCCCACCCTAATCTATGCCTGTCTGAGTCCTGCACCTCCGTTTGGTTCGACGAAGAGAAAGACACTTCTGAGGTCCAGCCCAACCCTCGTCGCTTCCACTATTACTACTGTCTGCTGGGCCAGCAGGGCTTCAGCACCGGCCGACACTACTGGGAGGTGGAGGTGGGCTACAAGACGGCGTGGAGGGTGGGCGTGGCGCGGGAGGATGTCCCCAGAGGAGAGGTGACGGCGACGGGAACCTCAATCGGCCTCTGGACTTTGGCCTTCAAGGGCGGGTCTGTCCAGGCCTGCACGGATCCGAAACCCACCAAGATCACCGTGTCCGTCCAGCTGGTCCGCATCGGCGTGTTCCTGGACTGCGAGGGCGAGGAGGTGACTTTCTACAACGCTGTTACCATGGCGCCCATTTACACCTTCTCCATGGGAACCGTCATGGTTCCCCTGTTCCCCTTCTTCAACCCGTGTGACACAGACGACGGAAAGAACACGGCGCCAATCACAATCTTTAACCCCTCACTTTAGGACCTCAGCAGCTGGATTGATGGACAAACTGGATCCTGGAGGAATCATTAAAATGTAATTTATTTCTCAGTTTGCTTGATGCCAAACAGGTTCTGATTTATTGTCTCGTTTTCATTGCTGGCAGCCTAAATTTATTTAAAGGGGCAGTACTATGAATTCTCCAGCCACGTAGTGTCATTTTACAAATGTACCTTCAGTTGTTATCAAAATGCTGTATAGATCAAATATGACCTAAAAGAAATTTGACTTTAAAATTTAACGCCTTGAAATTGGGTCTCTGTCTCTTTAAGAAACTCTGACACTCTGACTTCAGGAAATCACGTTTTTACCAGTTTTTACACTGATAAGTAGCTCATGTGATGAGCTCATTAGACTTCTATCAGGTGCTTGCTAATTGCTGCTGGCTAGTCTGGAGGAGCTTCATCTCAAAGGCGGAGCTAGGTCCACCCAGGCGCTTTGCTCAGCTGAATATTTACCACAGGAGATTAAATGATTTCTCAAACAGGCATGAAAGAATCAAAGCAACACTCCAGATGTGTTTTTAATGAGGGAATAAAATTAAAGCATGACATGAAGGTCAAATAAGTCAATTTTACACAACACTGCCCCTTTAAAACAGGAACAAAAAGAAATGTAAGCTATTACTAATAATTATTGTAAACAGAAAAATTTAACTTCCAGACTGATTGTTTTCTATAATGCAGAATGAGCAGCCAAGACACCCAATGTATGCATTTATTAAAATGATTTTAAGACTGGTCTTTAATTAACATGTGAAGTGGACTCTTTAGAAAATAGAAGCAAACAGCAGCAGGTGCAAAGAGCTTCATGACGCAACCTTTGGCCTGCATATAAATATCTCCACTATGTTGCTGTAACTCCTCCCTGCAAGGTTATGGGAGCTCAGAAAATGGCGCAGGGAATGAGAGAGGTGAAGGAATGGCGCTTGATATCCAAAATGTAATTATAGTTGACACTAAATGATTTATTAAACTGAGAATAGAAAGGCGAAGCTCCGGGACCAAGAGCCCCCTGCTGCTGCGTGACAGATGAAGACAAGAAGACAGAAGATGGCATAACCTTTTTGTTTATTCTTAGTATTCATTTAGGCATGAAATAAAGAACAAAAAAATGGTGACCATTTGTCGATACAAAACATCCGTGTGAAGAATTGTGCAAAATGGAAGAACAGAGAGGCCACACCACAAACAGTCCATCACAGCAGCAGTGATCAGAGAGGACAGACACGACTGGCTTAGTGTAAGGAGAAGCTGTGGTGGCAACACAGGCGGTTTCTCCTTTTGGGTTTTCAGAATGTTTCTGGAACCGGTACGATGTGATAACTCTGATCTAGTGAGACGAAGCCTTCGTTGGGTGCAAGAAAAGTAAAAAACAAAGGCTGGTCACGTCTTAGCACAACAGCCCTGTAATTTAGAGACACCCCTGGAGTAAAAAGCCTTAAATAGTTTTTTACTGCTGCAGCATAATCTTCTACTAACAGCTATTTATAGACGTACATCTAGGCAGCATGGAGGTGAATCAGAAGGTCCTTCCTGGTCGGTGATCTTTCTGCATCGGGTTTGCATGTTCTTCTTTAGCACACTTTGGTTCTCTCTGGACATCGTGAATGTTGGTTTGACTCTGAAATGGTTTTAGGTGTGGGAGAGTGTGTGTCATTTTGGCGCCCTGCGATGAACTCGTGACGTGTCCTGAGCGAACCAGGCCCACAACGGGCAGGATAGAAAGAAATCATGATGCCATCCACTTACACTGCAAAAGCACAAAGTCTTACCAATAATTTTTAATGTAGTTCCTACTGCAAATGTCTCAGTACCCTTGAAATAAGACAAAACTGATTTATAAGTAAGATTTCAGCAAGATGCAGGAGCTTGTTTTAAGTATTGATGAAAAAGTTATAGTTGTAGTTATGCAATAAGACATTTTCCCCATATAACTTGACATGTGTGGCAGATTATTTCACTTATAGCTAATACTTTTGTCATCAATATTAAGGAATTTTTCACTTAAAACAAGCTACTCTATCTTGCTGAAAAGCTACTTGTAAGTTAGTTGTGTCTTATTCCAAGTGAACTAAGATATTTGCATTAGAAACTAGACCAAAAACTCCTGGTAAAATGTTGTGTTTTTGCAGAGTAAGCACGCCCACAGCATCACAGAGCCTCCACTGTACTTCACAACAGGAAACAGATATTGTGTTTTGAACATCAGTCTTTTGTTTTCCACAAAACCCCAGTAATGTTTGTTTTCACAAGGCTCAATCTGGGTAAAGTTTACAGTTCCAGATAATGGCGCAGGATAGCAGACACCCCATGTTTTAATTTAATTTGATCAGAATAAGTCTTTTGTTTTTTTCTTGCCATGCTTGCCACGTTTACAACGTCTGATGGATTTTATGGCGACTTGATGACACAAAAATGCCTGTAATCTTAAGTTCTGTCTTCAATGTGATCGGTACCGAGATAAACTTATCAGCTTTGTTTGGTAAATTTTATCTTTTTTTTTATTGTAGACATTGGCAACTTAAGGCAAGTAGCAATTTCTTTAAGACCTCTTCTAATTTGTAAAGACCATCACAAACCTGCCTTTCTTGAATTGCATATCCTCTGATCCTTTCCATCAAGTGGCCAAGAAAAAATAGGCCTCCATAATTCTTTGATTCTTTGATCTACATAAACTTTTAAGTATGGATCAGTTTGACACTTGTGACTTTGTTAAAATTTGCTTTTTTTTGTTTCTCTAACTAAATGTGAAGTTGGATTTTTCTAAATACTTAATGTGAGATTATGCTGCTGCAGTAGAATATTGCATTTATTGAAATGCTTTTTACACATCATCAATCACTGAAGATATTTTAATAATATTATTAATAATAACTATATTTTAGTCACCACTTATTGACTGAACAACCCACAGCAATCTTTCAAATTAATTTTCTGCTGTTGTTAATTCCTAAATAAACTCTCAGACTCAAGCTAGTAAAATAAAGCATATTTAGCTATCTGCATGCTACACATCATAAAATAAAGCTACATCTTCCTCTTTGCTCCCGTCACTCACTCACAGAAGCTCGTTTTAGGTGAAGAAGCGGCGTTCAGGTGTGTATAAACTGTCCTGTGAGAACATCCTGTTTGCCACCAGGAAGCGACTAAAGACAAATAAACATCGTAGGCACTGAAACAAAAACAAACCGAGCTCAAATATCAGTGCTTTACTTTGTGTTTTTTTTTTTTTTTTTTTTTTTTAGTGGTTCCGAACACATCCACGCTCTTGGCTTGAAACACAGTTTGAGCAGGCACATGGATACCAAACACACAGACAGTACACATTTCACTCTGTACAAACCGCCAGTGCATAGATTCAGCACACGTTTGATCATTTATACATCATAAACCAAACCGTAGGCACACAGACGGGTCCCGGACACACAACAACTGCAACACTGATATATCACTTCGCACAGGTACGACTTTATGGACGATAAGAAGCTCAGAACATGTCTTGGGCATGCTGCGGTCGATGCGTGAAGTGACGTAGGCTAAGCATGTTTAATACAGTGTAAGAGATATGTTTCACTGGTAACTGCGCTAAAAGGAGCAAGTATCTGGGTTGTTACATTAGTTCAAGACATTAGTGAAGATTATTATACATAGCATCTGTAAAAGCATTTATATATAAGATTTAAGCTTGGGGAGAAAATTTGAATTAGTTCAGGATTTATTTGTTTAATGTGAGACAAGAAGTGCTTTATACATTAGGAACATTCAGCCACTGAAGGGTTAAACTGGCAAACATGCATTATTTACAGTGTGTGTTTTTTCATGTGTGTGTGTGCGTGTGTGTGTGTGTTTATATAAAGGTTATTGTCAGTATTGCCAAATGTGACAGTGGTTCCCACACAGATCCAGGCAAGTCCCATACAGTGATTTACATCACAAATTTTCATTCTGACTGTAGACGTTGTTGGTTTGTACGACTCTGAGGCACATTTGTATACGTAATTTCAATTTGTGTCGTCTTTGTATCAAATCTGACATCTTGTTTTATGGCTTTTTAAGAAATCATCATCATTTACGTCTAAGGATTTAACTTTCTGGAAAAACTACAAAGGAAGGCCAGCTGAGTGATTTACTTTGAGTCATTTTGTGCTGCTTCCGTATTTCCAAAGTTTTTAGGTAATTCCAGGATATGAAACCTGTACCAGGGAAACACGAGGTAGAAAAATTAATTTCCTTAAATAAATATGTAACTATTTATGCACATGTTTTTTTACGAGGGAAAACTTACAACGAGATTGTTTTGGTCACATTAACCGCCGGACACACTCAAACCAGTTTAAAAGAGACGGTGGTGTAAAAGCACAAATAAAAACCTCACACTGAAGTCAAGTTGAAGATTACAGCTAAGTAACATCCAACCTGCAGTAGATAACTCATTTGAATTCAGATTAGTTGGTGCCAAGACCAAAATGAACTTCTACTCCTTTAAAAAAAAAACACACTGGTTAATGTCATTACTTACCTAGAAATCTTTAAACCATTCTGACATTTTCACTGGTTATTTACTAAAAACATAATATTTATATACATGGTAAAGTTTGGACGCGGTGCACCACCAATAATCTTCCTCCGTGAAACGTGGACTCAGAATGAAACTTGTACAGCGATTCTGGTCAGAGAAACTGTCTATTATAAAAGTAAGAAAGAGTAAAAATCAACAAAATAGCACTAATACAAACCGATGCAGTATTTTTGCACTACGCAACACTTTATTTATATGCGAGTTGCTCTGAGCTTAAACACTTTGGAGGTTGCTCTCTCAGTGCGTTTCACACTTGAAGGCTTGTGGTGGACCACAGAGCTCTATTTCCCAGATCAATAACTATTAGCTTCTGTTTAAATAACCATTTAATGCAATTGAATCCAGTTTAAACATTCCTACACTTATTTGTTTTGGGACAGTAGAGGTTCAGTTTAATCTTGGCCCCTCTCGGACAAGCCGTTAATCTAAGATAATCTGTATTTATGTGAAATAAAGACACCAAAGGACACTGAAGGTAAATGTTAACTCCTTCAGTTTTTCACCAGAACGTCATTAAAAATCAGACCTTCTCTCAAAACAGAGAGAGATTTTTGCTCTTTGTCACTGCCACCAAACACATCAACATGTGCTGGGTCTGATTTGTCCTGTAAGAGGAATCCACTGGGATTTTCTACTTGTTGTGATGCTAACTACTATTAACAAACATATTCAATCCCATTCTCAACCAGCTAACACAGTAACATAAAGATTGCATGTGTGGGTTAATAAGATACAAACCTTTACTCCTGCAGAGTTGAGTAAGTTTTACATGTATGGCAAACACATTGTACAGTGAATGATGGTCCAGCCAGAATTTCAGCTTTCCGTTGTATTTGATTCTATACAACTCAATTAGACTCCGTCTTTTGAATCATAACACAAAAGACTTTCTTTAATCTATGATTGTAACTATTTATTTTCAAACAATTGTATTTGTTCGTTTTATTCGTAAAGACAAAACTATCCAGATCTCTCTGGTTAAAAGTGTCGGTGACATTGTTCTGATTGTTTTGTATTCGGCTTCTCATAAATTCAGACTTTCAAGTTTTAGTCGAATGTACTGTCGAAGGAAAGATCTGGTTAAATGGCTTTAAAGTAAAAGAAAACAGACAAAAGAGGAAAATTAGCAAGGAAAAACAAATAAACATGTTACTAGAGGAATCGCGGTCCACCTGTTTGGGATTTGTGTCAGAATTTCCTCCTTGGAAAACCAAAACGAAGCAGAAACAGGAAGGAAGTGAAGGAAGTTTGGACAGTGAATTGTAATACGGCTGGGGCTTAAATTTATAAAACCACATAAAGGTTTGACCAAAACTACATCATCAGGACTTCAGGGATTTTCTGCTAAAACACATTTCAACCATCTAAGACGTTTACTGAGTCCCTTCATAAAGTCCTATTAGTAGTGATTAATTATTTGTGCTAAGTTTTTCTATTTGGTTAAATTTATGAAAATCTTGTTATTATGGACACTTCAGTATCAATAATGTCAACATTTAATCTGTCCATGCTTAGGCTGAAAAAGTTTGGTTTTGTGAGTTTTATCCACATGCTGTTAGAGGAACAGTCGTCTCAATGGGAACCAGCGGTTAGTTCAAGGTTAATACGAAATTTTTGCTACACTGATATGATAAAATGCCGTAAACCCTATTTTTTTTTTTTTTTTTTTTTTTTTTTTTTTTTTTTTTTTAAAAAAAATCCTTTTGGGGTGATTTTTTTTTTTTTAATAACCCAAATTTTTT